CGTGCAAGTAATGTGGGTACTTGTGTGACTGCAGCTTAAGAGCTATTATACAGAAGTTTTCCTACACTACTGTTATTTTTGTTTCACTTTGTTTTCATGCTGTGATGACAGAGATGGGACTGACCTGTCTATGACCCACTGTCTTTGGTTCATTCTCTTTTCATTTCTCTCCCTCCCTCTCTCTCTCCCTCCCCCTCTCTCTCTCTCCCCCTCTCTCTCTCTCTCTCTCTCTCTCTCTCTCTCTCTCTCTCTCTCTCTCTCTCTCTCTCTCTCTCAGAGATGGATTGATCAGTAAAGATGAGATGATAGCATATTTCCTTCGGGCTAACCCTCTGCTGCAGTGTAAGATGGGACCAGGATTCGTCCATAACTTTCAGGAGATGACATACCTGAAGCCCACGTTCTGCGAACATTGTGCTGGATTTGTGTGTATCTATAATATCCTGCCATATGTGTGTCATAATTACTCACTGCATGTAGAATGTAAAGTACATGAACTGAATCTAATACTATAAATTCTGCTGGTTATGTGACTGGCATTTATACAGCACTCTTCTGGTCTTACTGATCACTCAAAGCACTTTAGATTTTAAAGAGCAACTACAAGCAGTTAGCAGTCATTCAGAGGCCGTGGCTCAGGTGGTAGACCTGATCACAAACCAAGAACATATATAACTGCACAAACGTGTAACATAACTGATGCCTAGTTCTGAGTTTTATGTAATAAATAATGCAAAAGTATTGTCTACTAATCAGAATGTTGGTGTCTGTCCTCCTTGGGCAAAATGCAAAATTCTGAATTGCCTCCATTAGAGTGTGAGTGGATGGGTGTGTGCATGCTGTTCTTTTTATTTGTAGTTATAGATCAGGGATGTCAAACTCATTTTACATCAAGGGCGACATGCAACCCACACTGCACCAGTAAAGCTCCACTTCTGTCAGTGTAAGGATGCTTAACTACACATATATGATATGTGTAGTTTAATAATTTAATATATGATTAAAGTTTACATTTCAGAAGTACATCTTTAAAATTACACAAGATTCTGGTAGCTCACTACCCAGAATGTCCTGTATTTATAAAACAAAGTTTTTGATAATAAATGAAAGTGTTCTTTTTAAGAAAAAAAAAAAATCTAATTTCTATAGTAGACAGTGCAAATCAATAACTTTTCTTTAACTTAATTGTTAACCTATTGCTTAACTACTTTGTTGTAGTATATATGGCTGTGGGGCAGGTCATTTTCAGTAGGAAATAATGGTAAATGGACTGGTTCTTATATAGCACTTTTCTACTCTTCTGAGCACTCAAAGCACTTTACACAACTTGTGCATTCACCCATTCACATTGTTCTAAGTAGCATTCACACACATTCATGCTCCGATGGAGTATGAGAGCAATTTGGGGTTAATATCTTGCCCAAGGATGTTTGGCATGCAGACTAGGGGAAGCTAGGAATCGAACCACCAACCTTCCGATCAGTAGATGACCTGCTCTACTGCCTGAGCTACAGCCACCCCAAAATGCTGTAAAAGTTAAAAGAAAAACACAGTTAAAAGTCCAAAAATGTATTTCTTGTCTGTGTGTGTGTGTGTGTGTGTGTGTGATTAGGTGAATGAGACTTAGAAAGTACTTTGAGTGCTCAAATAGAGGAAAGAGGTGCAATATAAGTGCAAGTCCATTTACAAGCCAGATCTAACCACAAATTCCTACCGAGCTTTAAATCTGTACAATTTCAGCACCTTATCTGCCTGTGGTCACTTTAGGTCTTTGGACTGTGGAAGGTTTTTCCTATACTGCTAAAGAAAACACACACAAGCACTGGGCAAAAATACAAACTTCACGCAGAATGCTTCAATCTAAGAACCTTGTTGTTGTGAGGGGACAGTGCTCACCACTGTCCCACCCATTGTAATTTTTTATTTTTTATTTCACAGGGTCTGTCTTTGCTTGTTAGTTCTCAGTTGCCTAAACATACCTGGGTACATACTGTTATGATACTACCCCGAGTCCAAAGCACAGACACAAAAGACGTGCACAGAGTTGCTGGAAATAGTGCAAACAGTTGTAATTGTGTCCTGTTTGTTTTCCAAATTTGCTGTACTTTGTTGTGACCTGATGCTGTTTTCTGTCTATTTTTTTTACAGCTCTGGGGGATCATCAAACAGGGGTACAAATGCAAAGGTATAATTTCACTGGCTTCTTCTGTGAAGGTCTTCCAAGAAAACAAAAATGAATAGAGAGAAATAACAATTAGCCCCCTCTGAAATCATCATTGCTAAAAAATCCAACCTAGCCTAAAAGGTTAGGTGCAAGATAAGTAAAAAAAAAGCATGGTTTAAGGTCATCGTTAATAATGACTTACATAACCAACCTTGTTTTTTTTAATGGTGAGGGCAGCCACTCTAGTTCTTTGTAACTTTAACCAGAATTTTAGAGGCGTCTTATAAATCAAATCAAGATTGTAAAGACAATGTGGCACAATCAAAAACTCAGAGTAGTGAAGCTTGATTTAGACATTTACAGCGAGTCTAGAGTCCGTTTGCGTCATAAGTTAATTTGCCCCTGAAGTATAATTCACACATAAGGTGAAGTGTTTCATCAACTATCATTCCACAAATTTCAAACTTTATGCACTGAAATGGCTACAGGTGGGACACAAAAAGCAGTTATTACACACTATGCTGGTCTAAAATGCAAAATTGTATTTGGGTGGTGAGTCCTGTACAGTCCTGATTTATCCACAATCCTCTGAGGTGGACGTCCATTTGCAGAGAGAAAGAAATTTGACATTCACGTGATGTAGAGGCTAAATCAAGAGAAGGGTATGAGTTAGGCTGATGTGAGAATTTGTTGTTGCTGCCTATGAAGCTGCTGTTCCAACAACAAAGCAAGTTGATCTTCACATTAGAACTGCCAAACTGTCATGATACTATGGATACTTGAACACATTTGACTATATACTTCTATTTTTGCTTTGCAGACTGTGGTGTTAACTGTCATAAACAATGCCGTGAGCTGCTGGTTCTGGCCTGTAGGAAGCTGATTCGCTCCGGCTCTCTGGGCAGCGTTTCTCCAGTCAGAGGAACTCACAGCTCACTGCCCAGCAGCCCCACGTTGCCTGCCTGTCAAGGTCATTTTTAGCTACTGCAAACACTGCATACACTCAAAAAAGTGAAAATGGGAGGTTATTACCTTTGCAAAAGTGTAACTTATAATTAGAACAAAATAATTGAATGTTTCTATGGTGCGTGCTTAGATCATATATGATCTGAACGAAATTCAACGACTTAACACTTGTTAAATTTATTCTTGTTAAGATGACGTGATACAACGTAGCAAGAGTTGTTAGTTGCCTGGAATTGCGATAAGGTTTTAAACCACAGGAAAATCACTGGGGTTTTAGGAGGCAGAAAGCATACCCGAGCCTTTACCTTGTACATTTGATGCTTCAGCAGCTGCAACCAAGCCCAAATACCTGAGGTGTATCATGACACTATAAATAATTTGTTCACAGTCCTCTGTTTTGTGTTTCCTTTTTTTTTCCAGATGAGGACGAGGTGTTTGAGTTCCCCGCCGTCACACCAGCAGTTCCAGCTCTCGACACTCAGTCCATCACCCTGATGACGGGCTCAGCCCAGAGAATCTCTGTGCGCCTGCAGAGAGCCACCATAAGCCAGGCTACCCAGACTGAACCACTGTGGCCTGAACATGCCTGGGAGGCGGCAGACAGTGGTGCTCACACCTTCCCCAAAATGAAATACAGGACTCACAGGAAAATGTCTAAAAACAAGGGTTTTGCCTGCTGGGAAAACCAGAGTGGCAGGCAGTACCAGGCAGGTTCTGCACCGCACTGCACTGGAAGCAGTGTAGACTCCCAGGAGAAGCCAGACGTCTCTGTAGAGCATGTACAGAACAGGGTTACACACAGAACAAAGGTAATGGAATAGATTATTTGTGGATTTTTATTCAAAAATCAAATTTTAGGCCGGAAGTGTTTCATTTGTAAAAGTCAAACCCCCAACAATTTGATGACCAGCAGAAGAAAACCTTTTTTTTTTTAAATTATTATTTGGATTTGTTGAGTCTTTATATAAATCAATTTGAATTCAAATGAATTTAATTTTTTTAACAGGAAGAGACCTTGGTCAGCAGTCCGGTTGGGTTGCGAGTAAAAAGGAAAAAACAGTGCATAGAGAGACAAGACCAAAGTTAATGACATTCAGTAGTGACATGTAAACACATCAGCAGTGGAAAGAAGAGAGGGGCTCAGTGCATCCTGGGAAGTCAACCAGTGTAAACCAGTAATAACTAAGGCATGGTTCAGGGTCACCCAATTCAACTAAGCTGTCTGTCTCCTGAACCCAGACTGATGGCTCTGCTTCACATTCTACTTTTGATTCTTTTTGGATTAGATAACTTATTACTGTGTGACTTAGGACCAGTGTTGGTCAAGTTATTTGAAACAATTAGTTAACCATTACTGATTACTTCTCCAAAAAGTAATCCCATTACTTTACTGATTACTTATTATCAAACATAATTAGTTACTTAGTTACTTTTCAAAAACATGATACACAACCTGAATACGTAATAAAGCAATAGACCTTGAGCCATATTCTACTTTTTCTGCATAATCCATCATATAAAATTGAATCAAATGGAAAGCCTCTTTCTAAAAACTTTTTATTTGTTTTAATCTTTCAATTTTATACACATTGCATTAAGCAAAAATTGTAATTATATGCAACAATCTTTGACTTGAAGAAATGTGTTTAACATTTAAACTAATGTTCTGCATATTCAATGATATAAAATATAATAATGTTTTGTGTTTCCACTCGCTCTTTCAAATAGATGCAAGTAAAACACAGCAGGAAATAAATAAAATCATTCAGCAGCACTGAGTCCTGTCGCTCTTAAATCTATGTTCACCTGTTTAGCAGGAGTGAGGCGGGTGGAGGTTTGCTTGAAAACTAAAAGTAATGTAAGTACATCCATGCTTTAAATGCTGCATGGATGTACTCTCTCCCACAACTCCATATCATTGTTGATCTGCACACCCTTACGTCATTGTCATGAGACACTCTCACAAACAAAATCACGACAATTTAGTAACGCAGTAAGGCAGCTTACGGGAAAGTAACAGTAATCTAATTATAGTGTGCGATAGTAATCCCTTACGTTATTCGTCACTTGAAAAAAGTAATCGGATTATAGTAACGCATTACTGCCCATCTCTGGTCTTTAGTTAAAATAAATAAAAAGTAAATAAATTGATGCCACCAACCCAAACACACACATCTCTCCTCTTTCTTCCACTCCAGAACAGCTGACTCGGTTACAGTGGTGAGAAGCACTCGTGGAGATCCAGAAAGCCCCTAGTCACTAAGACCAGGAGCTTCAGGGGGATATTCTTGGCTTTCTGAGGTCCCCCTTCAAAAACATGGAGTCATCATGTCCTCTCAAGACTTCAGCACAATACAGACAGAGCGACATAGAGCTGAAGTCAGGGAGAAAAGCTCTATAACATACAGTCTTTTAGCTCCAGGCAGAAAGACACAAGATGAAGGATTTTCCTTATGGATTGTTGGCCAGTTGATTTACATCGTCGAGCTTTCAAATGGAGCTCAGGAAGAATGTGAACAGAAATGATCTGGTGTTGGATTTTAATAAAGAGATGCAGCATCAAGATCCTGATGTCACATGATCATAGCAAAGGGAATATTTTGGATGTTTGTATGTGGAGATGGAAATAAAAGGAAACAGAACCTGAATGTAAAGGGAAACCAACAGAACATTTAGCACAAAGACTCATGAAACAGCATTTCTATAGTGACAGCTGCAGAGCAGCCCACCTTAATTTTATCTTGCAGGGTTTTTTTCAGCAAAACAAATGCTGCAGACAACCTCAATCATTCTGTTGTGATCCCATCATTGATCTTTTATCAAAGATGATAAAAGCATTTTTTACAAATGCTGTACACCATCAAGTGTGATTTGCGTTTTCCTATTTTTCTGTGTCAAAACAAATAAAAAGTACATATTTATGCAATGTCATGCCATTTTGTCTTTGCCATCTGAAGGGATGTTTTTCATTGTAATTTGATGTTTCCACTGACTTTAAAGTTAAATCATGTGTCTGATTTTGAGCCTGGCAGTCAGTCACACTCACTAACTAAGTTAGCTATTGCTACATCAACTTTAGTCATGCTGCTGTTTGTGAGGTCCTGTTGGGAAGCCTCAAGCTGAGCATTTTTATCATCACCATCCTGGTCTTTATAGGACATGACAAGCGAGGGGTGGATCTGACATAGAAATCAAGAAACAATGTATGCCGTGGTGCTTAAACAGTGTAATATTCAAAAATATATATTAAATATACTAAAGAGAAAGTGATCACTGTGCAACTCCTAGCAGAGTTCTGTCACATAAAAGCTTTATTGCTCCTGTAAATGAGTGCCATCTTGTGGCCACATTCGGTAATGTTTCTGGAAACTAGCTTTACTATGAGCCAGTGACGATTATTTCTAATGGTAAATGGCCTGTATTTATATAGCGCTTTACTAGTCCCTAAGGACCCCAAAGCGCTTTACACATCCAGTCATCCCATTCACACACTGGTGATGGCAGCTACTTTGTAGCCACAGCCACCCTGGGGCGCACTGACAGAGGCTGTAAGGTATACAAATGTTGGCACTGTGGGGTTACCCTTATCAGTGCAGAGGCTGCAGCACTTGTAAACAATCATCCAGTTATTACTATTATTATCATAAACTGTTAGATCTGTTACTACTCCTTCAAGGAGAGGTCTGGACCTTGACCAGGCGTTACCACTGCAGTTCTTTCATTCTTTTGTCAACCATTCTACTGTAGGTATGATGGTGTGCTTGAGAAGTAAACAGTGCAGTCAATATATTTGGTACAACTGCGGTAACAGTTTTATTAATAATAGAAATTTTCTTTAATGCAAGTAATGTAATAAAAACATCCATTAGTTCTAGTAAAAATAGAGCTGGCAGACCTCAGTCTAAGGACAATAAAGATGGTGTCAAACTTTGGAAATCACCAACCACCTTACTCAGACTAATATTGTTGATTTGAACACTGCCACCTCAAGCTTCCCTTTCAACTTCTCGGGGTTGTTATTTATCTTTTCAGATCCTTCCAGCAAATGTCTTCTTCTATTATTAATACTGGCACCTAATTACATCATCTAATTAAATTCTGTAATTACACACAGATCTATTTATGTGTATCAGTATTTCTGTATGAGTGCATGGGTGTATATATAGATAACACTATGCATGAATATACATATATTAGTATAGGTATGTGAGCAAAATTGCATCCACGTTTGCATCTGTGTAGATGAACATATCAGGCTCATCACAGTTGAGATTTCAATTCTATTTTTCTCCCATCCAGGACAAGCTGTTTATAGCTTTTCCTGTTACCCTTGTATGTCCTCGTCTTGTGCTACTGTTGTAAAAACTAAACAAAAACAAAGTAAGCTAAATATACTATGGGAGCAGTAATTAGGCCTTGGTTACAATATAAAGTGTAACCAAAATCAATTACGTAGTATTATTATAACCATAAAACTATCACATTTTCTGTGGTCGGCAATTATCAGAAGCCCAATTCCACACACCTGCGAGTCTGTGATTCCTGAGAAAGTGCTTGGACATTAGTCCAGCTCCAACTTATCTTCAAAGAACGTGTAGAATCCTTTAACACACTCACTTTACTGCAGCAAGTGTGAAAGCATTTAGGTTGGACAAAACCCAGAGTATAGCTACCAACGGTACATTTACTGCACTTCACACATCTGTCTAGAATGTGCCTCCATTGTTGAACAAGAGGAAGTGACCTACTGTGCATGTACAATTTTATTTACATTGCAAACACCTCATGTGTCCAAAGACAGCAAAGTCATGTCCAAAATCATGAAGCTGAACAGACTTCAGATCCGAAAGAAATGAAAGGAACTTGTGTGGGTCAGTCTTTTTCTGCAATCACCTGCAGTGAAGTGACAATGAAATTAAAGAGATTTGGAGCTTTTTGTCACTGCTGTTTATTGCACAGTATGTTTTAATGCAGTTAGCACTAAACTGAAATTAGAGCCACACAAATCCACTGTTGGAGAGGAGTGCGGCTGTGGAATGTCGGTATGGAAGCGGGAATGGTTCGAGTGTTCCACGAAAATTCGACTCTGCCAAGAATTAAGTACAAAGCTAATTTTCACGAAGGTTCTACAGAGATTTCGTTGTTGACAAGATCATTAGTAATAAATAGACGATGACAGATCCACAGGAAACAATTTAAAAGTATCCATAACTCATTGAGCACACTGTCAAAGGCTGACGAGGTGCATGCAAGCTACCTGGATTTCATCCTAATCATTTCAAATTTTACTTTTTAAACAAATGGAGACCATAAGTACAAATGCTATAGAGTAAAGCAACATTTCCCAGTGTGACTGACCAGTCTCAGAGTGTCTCAGGTGTCGCCCAGTAACCTACACAGAAGTGTTCACTGTGGCTCCAGCACTTATTCAACAGAATAAGTAACAAGGTATTAGTCTTCAGGCTGAAGGTCAAAACAGATGTTTATTAAAAAACAAAAATTAAAAACTACAAAAAACCCAAAATGAAAAAAAAGCATACAGAGCCTAATGCATTCATAACACAACAAAAACTCATCCTTTGGCTTCTGAGCAGTGGGTGATAACTGCTAACGGGATTGCAGTGAGAAGGCAAAACCACAGTGCACATATATATATCTATAAAAACAAAATGTGTTGTTGAAAGCCCCTTTCTGGGTTGCTTTTACAAATTAAACATGCAGCCATGTGATATGGTACGATTACAGCATATCGTCATCATCTCCTCCTCCGTACATGTCGGCCAGTTTCTTAAAGCGAGGGCCCCATTCATTGAGGCAGTCATAGTTCTGGTCTCCACTACTTGAAGAGTTCAAAGAGGAGAGGCTTCCTGCATCAGAACCACCTCCCTCATAGTCAAACACCAGCAGGGAGTCATAAGGGGGTGCTGTTGGGTCGTTGTCTGCAGCCTTCAGGTTCTGTTGGAGGAAATTTTACACAACTTACGTTATTCTGCTCCATGTGAGGTAATTGAAGTAACAGAATAATAAACGTGACCATTATCAAAGCACAGACATGATGTACTCTTAGCCAAAACACCCATCTTCTGCCACTTATATGGGAGCAAGTTAAACAACTCCCTCTTTTTCTTCTCTTAAAAACTAAATAAATTAAGATTCCCGTCACCATGACTGGAGCCAAAGTAATGCCATCCAGCTTAAGTATGTCTAAGATTTTAGAGCAGGTCACCTACCAATCGGAAGGTTGGTACACTGCAGACCAAATATCCTTGAGCAAGATACTAACATGTGTGATAACATTAGACAAAAAGCAATGAAAATGTATGCACTCCCTTCAAATGACATAAGTGCTTCCATGAGGCAGTAAGAGCTGCTTAGGTTCCCATTTTCTGTAATACTGTGGTCAATGTTATCAAATGATGCACTGAATTCACACCTCAGTACCACATTTCATTAAGTTTTAAGGAGCTTTAGAATCTCACTCACATCTTCAATGAAGTTGCCAATCTCCTCGGGGTTGGCAGGCCGTGG